CTCATATGAGTCATATGACACTCCATCCTATGATAACTCATCTCGATAAGCATACAGTTTGAAGATACAATGTTTGCATTAAACACGATAGTCTTGAATAAACTATGCTTATAACATTTTGCAAATTTTAAGGTCTTCTATTTTCTTACAAGATTCGCTTCCATTCAACTTGTTTAAATTCGACATTAATCACACGACGCACATTACCAAATCGTTATACTCATACTACTCATAGTAATCAAAGTAACGAATACAATAAACGATTACTTTGTAGAAGAGTAACGATTAGTAACGAGTACTCGAAAGTAACGATAACCAACACCACTACAACTGGGACGAAGTGTTGACGGATCCCACAGAATTATGTGTCACTTGTCGATGTGGTTAGTTTTAAAATAACAGGAGATAATCAGTTGTTATTCAAATCAGTGTATATGTTTTGCGATTCAAATAACGTCTAATATAAATATAATCCAGAATATGTACTCAGTGCAACAAGAAAGTTATTGCAAATTTCTAGTTTTTCTGCAGGTTTTAAGTTTGCCGGTAGGTATATGTTTGAGTATTTGTTGATCTCTGTGAATTTAGTAAGCATGTTTGTTAAGTTCCTGAACAACGAAAAATATTCAACTTTATGGATGTATGGTTATTAAAAAACCAGAATGGTTGTGTGGGAATATCAATGTAAGGTGCCATAATGGTTCTGATGAACGGCAAGTAAATGAATGAATGTTTGGAAACGAGCAATATCTATGAACTTTTTGGTAGAGCCAGTCATCAAGTAGGTGCTTAATGGCTATCTGCAACAGGTTTATAGGAAAAAACACCCAGTAGATGATCTTGAATCAGTAAAATCGCACATCAATTGAAGAAAATAATGTAAACATGAATAAAAAATCCACAGTAATAATTAAAACATGCATGTTATTCAAAAATCAAACATTTGTTTAAATTTTGAGTGAATTATATGCAATTTCTTAATATTCAATAAGCTGGTGATGTTTCAATGACAAGATGTCATCTCATACTTTGACAATATTTTGTTTTCAACATTTCATAGCTATTGGTTGCTAAAATTTGTTGATTGGAACTTGAAGCTCATTCGCTGTATTTGACGGTCTGTTACCCTATAGGTGGAGAATAACGGACTGTTGTTGGTGAGATTGGCCCTAAAGCAAGTATCTCCCAATTTCTATCGCAAACAGACTTTTTGGGACCGATTGGAATTCGGTCTCAATATTCCCAATCCAAGATTTCCGAGCTACCTATGGACAAAGTCGTACGTTTCACTCAAGTCAATACGTGTCAGTCTCAATCTCTATCCATAGTTCATCATTATTAGAAGGGCTGGTATGGCGTGTACTTATAAAGGTGTTATCGTTGAAAATTGACAAAGATCCCCTGAAGCAACTCCAGTAATCCCCCGTCTGCGGAGCCGATGGCAACCCTGTCTAAAGGCGCGCCTCACTAACGCCGAAAGAATTAGATTCCTTGGAAGTAATTGGAGTTCGGCCCCGTCCGACGGCGTGTTCTGAATGTTTGATTCCTCGATGAGGAGAAGGAGGCTTTCCTTCCTTCCAAATGAAGACTTATGTACGGTTTTATTGCTGTTTTTTTTCCTCGACTTCTTCTTCTTCTTTTTATTCGACGTTCGGCCGAACGGTCACCGCCGCCAGTTGCATGCGACTGACTCGAATATTGATTTCGCGCCTTTTTTTTTTCTAAGCGATGCGATGAAATAGGGGTGGAAGCTGGGTGTACTGCAGGGCTCCTTCGAAATGGGTTAAGCAGTAATTTAATTGTGTGTCTGTGATCCATCATGGCGTTGTCATTGCAGTTTCTTTTATACGTTCTGTAACGTACATCAGATAAGGGTCGAGCCGTCATTTTTAGTCAGTCTTCATGCGTTTATAAATATCTGCTCTTTGTTATGTTGGTATACAGGGTGTTCCTTAACGATATGCGAATATTTAAGGGAGTGAATCTACATGGAAAATTAATGTTAGTTTGCTTTATGAACTATGGTCCAAAAATGTTTCCTTACAGAAACGCGGGGTGTTGAAGTTTTAGGAAAAAAAATGGAAATTAATTAATATTTTCAGAACCGCTTCAGCTGTTTCACTGATATTTAGTACGTAGTGGAAGTTAATAAAGTTGCATATTTTTCAATGCAAAAATTATATTTAGCTTTAACAGTGGCGTGCGTCCGGGTATTGACTTCGATATTTTCTAAGAAAAAAATGGTACGCCGATAGTTTTTTGCCAAATTTTGAATTCCTGCTCAATTTAAAACAAATGATCTCTCTCAATCTTGTTAATAATGGTGGATTATTCAAATGCAGAAATGGCGAAAATGCATTACATATATGGCCTTGCCGACGGTAATGGTGAGCAAACCAGACGGATTTATCAACAGAGATATCCCGATCGTGCTTTGCCAGATAGTCTAACCTTTTCCAATATTCATCGTCGTCTTGTTGAAACTGGTTCTGTCCGAAAAGGAACATCTGAAGGTAGACCTCTAAGTGTGAGAACACCTGAAATTGAGGAAGCAGTGCTACACGAAGTCGAAGAACATCCTGAAACGAGTACGAGAAAGATCGCTAGACACTTAAATATTTGCCATCAAATTGTTTGGAGAATTTTAGTGGATTTTTTGTTATATCCTTACCATATTTTAAAAGAACATGCATTACTTTCCATAGATTTTCCAATGCGTGTGTCCTTTCCACAATAATCATTGGTGGGCAGAAGAAAATCCCTATGCCGTAACCGAAACCCATTTCCAACACCAATTTTTGGTTAATGTATGGGCAGGAATTATGGGCAACCACTTTGTTGGCCCATTCTTTTTGCCGGGACGACTTGATGGACAGACTTACCTTTGCGGCTTGATGATCCATTAGTAATAAGAAAAGATATGTGGTACATGCATGATGGTGCACCAGCGCTTTTCAGTGTAGCGGTTCATAATTATTTACAAACTGTTTATCCAAATCGTTGGATTGGCCGCGGTCGGCCACAGGAATGGCCACCAAGGTCCTCAGACCTCAACAGCTTAGATTTATTTTTGTGGAGCTATCGTAAGACACTAATTTGCACAAGTCCCATTAACGCTGTAGAGGAAATAAGAGAAATAATAGTTGCAGCTTGTGATAGAATAAAAAACACTCCAGGGATATTTCAACGGGTGCGCAATTCCATGAGAGGGAGGGTGGAAGCATGCATACTAAGTGAAGGGGGCCATTTTTGTAATAATTGGTCAAAGTACGTTACTGAGAATTGAAAATTGTACTACGGGTAGCTAAAGTGGCAGTGAAATAATCCAGTGAATTACAAGAGGAAGCACAAAACTGTAAGCTGAAAACTAGATTGACAACACTTAGTCTCCTCTGAAGGCGTACCTCAAGGCTCTTTTATGAAATCACGGAAAGTGGTGAAGATCGATAAAGCCAGGCGGAAGTTCCACTACATTATTTAAAATGAGATTCAAAACCATACAGGTTTCGAAAAAATGATGTGGATAAAAAAGTTAAAAAATCATGCATACAATCTGAAATTCTATCTTATATGGGGTTGTCCAAGACGGACGCAGGAAAGTAAACGCACATTAAAACAAGAAAGATTGATATTCAAATCAAGTTGGGTACTTTATTTTGAAGGTTCATTTATACCATTTATGTATGAAAAATAATATCGCTCAAATGTTCACCACGACTGGATTTACAGACGTCCACGCGATGGTCGAAATTTTCAGTGACATTTTGCAACATGGTCGGTTCTATAGCATTTATCTCGGCCATGATGTTATTTTTGAGTTCTTGGAGGGTGGCTGGTTTGTTGACGTAGACTTTGCTTTTCAAATATCCCCATAAAAAGAAGTCCAAGGGAGTCAAATCGCACGATCTTGGTGGCCATGGCACATTTCCTCTGCTCGAAATCACGCGATCACCGAAGAAGGACTGCAATCGATGGATATTGACGTTGGTTGTGTGGCATGTTGCACCGTCTTAATGGAAATAAACATCGTCCATATCCATTCCTTCAAGTTGCGGCAAAAAATAGTCCTCTATCATCACGTGATATCGCTCGGAATTGACGGTAACGGCGTCCCTGGCCGCATTGTCGAAAAAGTAAGGTCCGATGATGCCTTTTGACCACAATGCACACCACACAGTCACTTTTTGAGGATGCATCGGCTGCTCTTGATACTCACGGGGATTTTCGTTCGCCCAGATGCGCCAGTTTTGCTTGTTTACCGTCCCATTCAAAGTGAAATGCAAATTTTCATCAATTTGGCGGTGTTCAAGGAGCCAATCTGAGAACGTTCGGCGCGAAAAATGGTCGGCCCGACGCAGCCCTTGCGTCAATTGGATCTTGTAGGCGTGTACATTCAAATCCTTGTGGAGAATGCGGAGCAAACTGGTTCTCGAAATGCCCAATTCTTGGGATGGATGCGTTGTTGATCGTTTCGGATCGTCTCTCACACTCTCCTTCACAACAGCAATATTTTCCCGTGTGCGAACGCTCCTTGGCCGGCCAGAGCCTGGCAGATTTGCCACAGGACAAAATGACATGTCGGTGACAGAAAACAAAGATGGCGTCTATGTCAAATTGACGTTTACTTTCCTGCGTCCCTATTGGACAACCCTATATATGTGAATGCTCATTATGTTTGAAAAATCGACTGTTTCATTTTTGAGCTGGCGGCCATATTTGTTAGCCGAAAATTGCGTTGTGTAGTTTCTCTCTTCACTTTTGTACTAGAATCTTTTTCTACCGATGGTCTAGTCAGTACATGTCTAACAGTGATATAGTAAACATATCCCTAGTATTTGCTTATGCCTATCTGTACCATCGGAGCAAAGTCAAGCAAAACACTTTTTGCAATTTGTGGTTAATGCCATATGCCGGAATCTGATTTTTATGTACTAGGGGTGTATGTATACCACTTTTCCATCTTGTATATAAGAAATACTTACGCTAAAACTTGTTTTCAGTAGTACATCAAAGTATTCGTGCCAAGGTAAATGGAAAAGCAAAAAGCTCAGGCGAGAAGACGCATCAACCTTGCGGGGCTTTTAGCGCTTCCGGGGAATGTTACGGCATGTCGTCAAAGGTAAACATCCTTCTCGGATGAGATCCTATTAGCTGCAATTTAATTGGCAGATATGTCAACGTTAGGATACTTTTGTGCTTTTGGTTATGCCCTTGGCGCTACCATGCGGTCGGACACTCATAAAGCCTCTCAAAGGGAGAATGTTTTCAAGTTTCTAGAGTATAATCTGTATGTATTTTTGTATGGGTTAAGTGTAGAAATAGCTAAAGCTAAACTTCTCGGAATTAAAAAGACGTTTATTATTGTTATATTATTATCAAACTGGACTGGTGGCTAAAGTAGTAAATATAATTATTTCAATTACAGATATTTTTGGGATGCACATAGCAAATCACACAAAATAATCGTGTTTTCTTTTTCACATCTACTGAATATGCAAGTAGGCCCAATATTCACGACTTTCAAAACCACTGCACGAGAAATGTCTCTCCAGTCTACAGCTACCTTCAACTGGTCACGTTCACTAGCGCATTGGAAATGGATTTTCCGCCATTGTTGTTATCCGTGTGGCGCAAAATAAATTCAGTTTGTAGTGCGTTCAATTCAGTTTCGCTTTTTATTAGGCGTCGCCCGCTTAGCTTGTTTGTAATGGAGATCCGATTATTGGCGCGAATGGATGCAGCCCGTGATGGTAATTGACGTACTTGGAGAGCAGAAAAAGGAATCCATGGAAGCGGCCGGCGTGCCGAGGCGTCGATATATCGGAATTACAATGAACATTTCGATATTGTTTTGACCCTTTGCAGCTTACTGCTGATTCAGATTTTTATGAGCAATGAAATAATATTTCGCCTGAAGTGACAAATACAGTAAGCATGTCCCTTAACACAGGGTTAGTAAACTTTCAGTTGTGACCAGAAATGGGCGCATTATATAATCAAATGCTAAAATCCGTCATTCCCTGAAATGCGTAGTCAGTCCCCGTATTGCCGGCAAACACCGTAACAGTTTAATTATTACAACGTTATTCCCTGTAATGACTGAACACTTTCAGTCAAACAACGTAACAACCACATTAACTTCGTTACTCGATTTACCAGACTCAGTCATTCATTGTACCAGTTTTGTGATCATTTGTTTAAGTATACACATTATCTTTTCTGTGTTTGTAAAGATGTCGCAGCATTCAGAATTGTTTTACCAGAAACTATGACAGTGTGAATAAGAAAAAACCATTAAATACAAATGAGTTAAAGGGAGTAAGTTGATTTTTATAATTTTGTGAACCTAACCTAAATTATAACGTACATATGCTTGCCCAACAGCAGCATGCATTGTTGTCGTATATAAGCAATTGATTAAAGAAACACTAATGTAATAATAAAGACAACGTTTTAATCTATTCTTCTTTCCTTTTAGATGAATTTATGTATGATTATTTAATTCATGCTTGATTATTCTTCTTTTAATATTATTGATAAAGTAGTACTTGTTATATTATATACTTCACTGGAGCAACACTGTATTAATTACAGCGTTTGACTAAAATAGGCGAATGCAGTAACGAAGTTAATGTGGTTGTTACGGTGTTTAACTGAAATTGTTCAGTTATTACCGATAATGACTGAAATGCTTAGTCAAACGTTGTAATACTCAAACTGTTACGGTGAGTGCCGGCAATACAGGGACTGACTAGGCGTTTCAGAGAATGTCGGATTTCAGCGTTTGACGCCGATATATACATCATGTATAATACACCATTTTAGGTCTGTGCCTTTGCTTGACCCTTATGAGACTACTACCCTTGTTTACCAGCCCCTGTCAGGTGCTCCGTCCTTCTCTAGCGGTCGCGAATCAATCTCCCTTCTCTGTCCCGCTCAGAGCCTGGTCGCGACCGCCCGTCAGCGCCGGCAAGCCCGCTTGCGCTTCAGTACGCTGTTGTTTACCATCGCGTCAGGTGCGTTCGGTAAAGTTTGTATACGTATTCGTACAAAACTGGATATACAGTGCATGTTAATTGTGCAATGGATAGTGATAGCGAGGTATGTAGATTTTTCAAAGAGTGATTTTCTCTAATTTTAGTATGTTGACATTCCCTTTATTGCATGCAAGTGATTCGAGCACCCTGCGTCTCAATCACGTATTTACTGGTATATAACTTATCTGATCGAGCACTCTTACGTCTCATCAGTCTTTACCAGTCATGCTCTAAGTATTTCTTGGCGTACGGCCCAGAATTTGAACGTTCACGGCTCAGTGAATGGGCCTCCAAGGCTCAGAAGTTGAACCTTCGCGGTCGGAACTTGAGCCTTACGGATAGGTAATTGAGCCTTACGGCTCGCACCCGAGCCTTACGGCTCGCCCTTTGAGCCTGACGGCTCGCCATTTGAGCCTTACGGCTCGCCCTTTGAGCCTTACGGCTCGCCCTTTGAGCCTGACGGCTCGCCATTTGAGCCTTACGGTTCACACTTGAGCCTTACGGTTCACATTTGAGCCTTATGGCACACCAAGCGAGGCTTGATAAATCAGCCACTAGCTATTTATCTCTGCTTTTGTATATCTGTTTTAAGATGTTCACTGGGCCTTTTCATTGCAGATGGCTGCCTCATATTCTTTTGCTTCATTGGGGGAGCTGTATGATGAACCGTCCGAAGACGAAGTCCTAGCAAGACTAAAGATTGCTGCAGCTGGTTTCCTGCCGGAGGGCTGGAAGGATTGGAGAGTCCGGAAGGATCATGTAGTTCATATGGAGCCTTCGGTTCTTAACAAAATGCGTTTCTGCTTATCTGCGCTGGAAATTGCAAAAGCCTTCAACCCAGATGCAAAATGCCTCAAGGAGAGACCTTACAGGGACATGAAAGTGAAAATGATGTCATGGCCGTTCTGTGTGGGCCTCATCTTAGGACCTCCATCTCTGGCTCTGCAAGTGAGAGGTTCTGCTTTGCACTGTGAGCTGGTTACTCAGTCGGTGAAGAACTTGAGGGGGCTGTTGATGACTAGGAAAGAGGCGTCGAAACTTCTTGGAGATGGCTCTGAGACGGATGAGTCTGAAAGCTGTTCCCAGTCGACCTCGAAGCAACGCGTTAGTACTACCAGCAGGTTAAAGTGCCTTGAAGCAGAGTCTGCCGCGACTAGATCATTGCTGCAAGAAATCTTGAGCCGCCTGGATCGAAAAGGGAACGACACTGGGGACTCTGACTTGGAGGAAGACCAGGCAGAAGAATTCATGGAGGAAGTGGAGAGTGAGAGAGAATCGGATGCGGGGTCAACTCCGTGGAGAGCCCCAGAGGTTGTTTCTACAGTTAGCAAACGGACGGTAGTAGACTTTACGCCTCAGGCAAAGGAGCAGGAGCCGACTGTCCCTCAACCCGCTCCAGACATACGGATTCAAGGCCTGAGTTGCCAGCGATTGGGAGAGTCGTCATGGAATCGCATTAGGTATGCGGATGTGCAAAAGCGCTTACATGCATCTCCTGTATTTGGTGCGCTGTGCTTGAACACGCAGCTGCGACACTTAGCCAAGGACAGCTTTGCGTCTGACTTTTTAGAAAAAACGGAGGGGTCCTATGGGACCGTGTGTCACGGTTTACTATTACAGCGAGCGGCATTCCAAAAGGCAATCAATATGATTATTGACGCCTGCCCATCGTCAGCGGACCTGATAGAGTCGGAGCTTATTGGGCCGGGATGCCTCTTTCGCCAACATTCGGATAATCTTTTGCAGTTCATATGTGGCAAGCGAGCGGAAGCGATAGAGTTGAGACGGAGCCAACTAGCTCCACTGAACACAAACGTTGCTATGGTATTATCGAAGATTCCTCCTTCCGAATCTCATCTCTTTGACGAGAATAAAATTGAGGATCTGTTAAAGTCACAAGCAGGAAGCCTGAGGCCGACATTTAAGAGGAAAATTCCTTTCGCGAAACAGGCCCGTAAGCCCGAGAGGAGATCCCAAAAAAGCCAAAACTTGAGACAGGAAAACCGATCTTCACGGAAGACATCCACTTTTCGGGCCAAGCAGGACAGAACTTCGAAGAGCCATGGTAAACCGACGCGGCGCTTTTGACACATTGAAAGTTGCAAGGTGTCGGGGAGATTGGAAAGCAGGTCAACTGAGGGATTTCGCCCAAAACTGGATCATGGCAGGAGCACCAAAATCGTTAATAAAAATGATAACAGGGTACGCAATTCCGTTTTGCAAGAAACCTCCCTCAATCCCATTTTCCACAGCCAGTATCCAAAGACTGCAAACCTCAGTCGATGCGAAGATGTATCGAGAAATTTCGAATATGTTGGCAACCGGAGTTCTACAGGAGGTCCCGAGCTCAGTGAAATCCGGGTTCTTTTCAAGAATGTTCTTGGTCCCAAAAGCAGACGGCTCCAATCGCCCCATTTTCGACCTCAGAAGATTAAACGCCTTCCTGAGCCCAAAAAGATTTCATTTAATAAGCCATCACCGGGTTCCAGAGTTTTTACAAAGATACGACTACATGGTCAAGCTCGACCTATCGCAGGCATATTTTCATATACCTGTCAAGAAGAGTCACCAACGGTATCTAGCCCTATCATTTCAGGGGAAGGTATATACCATGACGTGCTTGCCCTTCGGACTAGCAACCGCGCCTCTTACATTTGCAAGAGTGTCAAATTGGATAGCAAGCCAGCTAAGGAAAAAGAATGTAAGAATCATCGTTTATTTGGACGATTTTTTGATAGCCGGTCAAACCGTGGAAGAGGTGAGACACGACATGCACCTAGCCGTGGCCTTCCTAAGAAACCTAGGATGGAAGATCAACTATTCAAAGTCAATCTTAGAGCCCACTCGAGTGATAGAGTTTCTTGGGCTAGGCTGGGACACGGGGAGGAACCGCAAATTCGTCCCGCAGAGAAAAGTCGACCGAATCAGAAAAGAACTCCGGAAGCGAATCGACTCAGGGCTCTGGAATTGGAGACAGGCGAAGTCGATTCTTGGAAAATTAAACTTCGTAGGATTTGCAATACCTCTGGGACGGTTGCATTGTCGGCGCATCCAGATAGCCAGCAAAAGACTCCCAGAATTCGAACCAAAGACATCATATCGTATCCCGCAAGAGGTGATTCAGCAGCTTCATTGGTGGCTAGAGAATTTGGAACAGACGTCAGAACTTTTCACACCTCCGATAACAGTATTCCTGTCGACCGATGCGTCGGACGTTGGTTGGGGTGCTCATCTGCTAGACAAAATAATCAAGGGTACTTGGACGGCCAAACAAACGTTATGGCACATAAACAAAAAGGAGTTGTTTGCCGTTTTCCGTGCATTGAGGAGGTACAGGGCGATTCTGAGGCACAAAACCGTATTGATACAGTCCGACAGCCAGACGGTTGTTGCTTATATAAGAAACGAGGGAGGCACCAAATCCAGAACCCTTCTCAGAATGACGGAACAGCTACTGTTGTTTGCAAGGAGCTACCAGATCCAGATATCAGTAAGGTACATCCCGGGGGTTTACAACAGTATTGCCGATCACCTGTCTCGGCAGAAGGCGGTGCCAGACTGGCACCTGTCAGAGACTGCCATTCGTCCAATTTTTCTCAAATGGGGCCAACCAACAATCGATCTGTTTGCAACCAGGAGGTCGAGAGTCGTAGCTGCCTATGTGAGCCAGTTTCCGGAGGACACGGACGCCCTTTTCATAGATGCGTTCAGTCGCCCATGGAGCTTCGGAATTGCTTGGGTATTTCCCCCTCCATCATTAATTCCAAGGATGCTCCATCACCTCAATTCAGCGGAGGGGACTTATATTGTGATCGCCCCACGATGGGAGCAGGCATTTTGGCTGCCCGACTTACGCAAGAGAGCGCTGGAGCCATCACTGCCGATTCAAGACACCCATCTTCACCTGATAGACATGGCGACCAATCAAGTTCCACCAGAAGTCCAGCAGCTACATTTGGAGGCTTGGAAGGTGCGGGGTGGCTACATTACACCGAGGGATGGAGCGCAGATGATATAGCGCTTCTATTGAAAGCCTGGAGACCTGGTACCCTCAAGACATACTCGGCAGGCTGGAAACGATGGCTGGAGTGGGCTAGGAGTCAGAAGGTTCAAGTCAATAACCCTAACCCAAAAGAGGTCGCATTGTTTCTTAGTTTTTTACACAAGGCTAAGCAACTCTCATATAATACTATCCTCTTAAATAAATCGATAGTGACCACATTCGCCGATCCATCCCACGCTGAGGCTATAAATAGGCACCCTGTGGTGAAATATATGCTCAAGGCTATCAGCCTTTCTAACGTGACTAATCGCAGAATCAGTATTTGGAACATTAATGATTTAATAGCCTGGTTAAAATCCAATCCCCCCGATCTGGACAGTATGTTCCAGGTTTCACGGCATCTCGCCATTTTACTTCTTCTTGCATCAGGCAGACGTATCCACGATTTAACCCTGCTAGCCATTAGTGGCTCCTATTTCCAGGATTTTGGCTCATGGATGGTTTTCTGGCCTAAGTTCGGTTCTAAGACGGACAGGTCTTCGTACAGGCAATCGGGATGGAAGATCTCAGAGAATGATGATAAATCGGTGGATATAATCAAGTGGATACGAATTTTGATATCTCTTTCCGAGGAAAGGCGACATGGCGCGCCGGATTTGGATAGTCTGTTCATATCATCTAGGGGAAAGGTGCGGCCAGCTTCAAAAGCTGTGATTGCAGGATGGGTTAAAACCGCCCTAAAGCAGATTGGTATTGATACAGGACCAGGTAGCATTCGTTCAGCGGTTGGGTCAGTTCGCTTTAGTGTGAATATGCCATTGGACGAGATTCTGAAGAAGGGAAACTGGCAGAGTGATAAAAACTTTTTCAAGTACTATTGTAAGCTAGTCGAGCCAGGAGGATCTACCGATCGTAAGGGAAATACTCCCTCGGAACATTTTGATGTTGTTTAGCCATCATTTTTGTTTTTGTTTGTTGTTTTTTTTCAATAAGAATGTCACCATTTATGTTCGTTGCTACAATATAAACCTTTATGTTCTACCGACTTGGGGTTTTTTCCTCCTATCACAGTACGCTCTTAGCGCCGGCAGACTACAAACACGTCTCATAAGGGTCAAGCAAAGGCACAGACCTAAAATATACATGTTTTTCCCCCGAAGGGTAAAAAACATTTATTTTGGGTCTTGCCGATGCTTGACCCTAAAATTTTTATACCTAGCCGGCTTAAAAAAGACACGTACTGAAACGCAAGCGGGCTTGCCGGCGCTGACGGGCGGTCGCGACCAGGCTCTGAGCGGGACAGAGAGGGGAGATTGATTCGCGACCGCTAGAGAAGGACGGAGCACCTGACAGGGGCTGGTAAACAAGGGTAGTAGTCTCATAAGGGTCAAGCAAAGGCAAGACCCAAAATAAATGTTTTTTACCCTTCGGGGGAAAAACATGTATATTATATATACGCATATACAATGGTGAGTATATACGTCTCGATATTCACGTATACAATGTATACAGTAGCAAATCATAGTTCAACTAGTTGCATACATGCAAGTACCTTGCCCTTTTCGATGTCCATGTGTACGAGGAAGAGAAAGAGGGGAGAAGTGGGCACCACTTGTGTAGAAAGAGTGCGCCACACACCGTGTTGTCTGACACACCAGTGATGGAGGCCACAGAACCCGACTGTACCTTGCTGCTATGCCTTGTTTTTTACGCCCAAATACACATTTCTGTCGAATCTGTTTAAGATCAATTCCGGATCGATCCTTATGGTTCTCAGATTTTAGGTGGAGCTGGACGTTCAGGATCTCTACAAATTTCGTTATTGGTTTGACTGTGAAAGGAGTTTATAAATAATGAGAAATGGTATAAATATATAATATTTATTTATATACGTATACAAAGATACAGTTCGATATAAATTAGGAACATTTCTCAAGTAAAATCAAACAAAATACTTTTATCATCTCACTCGAGATATAGCGGAATCGGACAAGATTATTTTGCAGACACGGAATACGTATTTCCGTTTTTAAACAAAATGAACCCTATTTCATCGATTTCCGTGTTATTGGGGCGTCCAACCATACTATTTTAAAGTTACCGGTTCACTGTTCAGCAACTATCTGACGTTGACGAATAAATCTAACCTCACTTATGCTATTTTATACATTGTCTTCGACATTGTATCCATTGTATTCATTATATACGCAATGTACGTATACATTGTATACGCATTGTATGCATCGAGAAGTAGACAATTCATGTATACGCGTAAACGCCTATCACTTGTGACCAAATTTTCAATCACAATATTCATCAATTTCTTTGCGGAAGCTGCTGTAAAGACAAGACAAAAATAATTTCAAATGCCATTGTCTAATAGTAAATCTCCTTTTGCACATTTTTTTCTGCAGAAAAGTTCCAAAGCAGTCACTAACAATTATTGAATTAAATTAACCTAGATCAATTTAATTTAATACCAATCAGTAAGTTTAAAATGTGAATATGTAGGTATTTTTTAGCCAAGGTAGTGTCTTTATAGCCACTCTCAGGCAGTAAAGCTTAAACAATTCTTTCAATTCTTAGAGCCTTTCCGGCCCGAAGTGTGAGATTGCCAAAAAATGCCATAGGAACTAAAATCACTGAGTCGTTCGACATGCATCCCACCACGAACTGCCTAAGTTTATAAAAATTTGGGAGATGGTTTAGTTTTTAGCCGAAGCCACTGAATGCCCTACAGGCCTGATTCCAAAGAGATGTCTCTGGAGCACGGCAAAAGCCACAACTCCAGAGTTTTTGTAAAATTGGAGTGAACCTCGACGGGGAAGAATCGGATATTTTGATCTCCACCAAGAAGACCATAGTGGAGCAATCTGACTGATGCTAGTGGTGAATAGCATCAATGCTATTAATTCGAGTCCACCTTCCACCCGGACATTCCGAGAGCAAAGTGAGGTTACGATCGGAACTCTTAGTACCCGAATGATTCGCCATTATTTTTTTAATTCGTGTTCACCTTGACAATGAGGTGCAACAAGGCGAGCAAAGTCTACTGAAGATAATTGGGGCCTTATACAGCAGCCAG